CACATACATACATACATACATAACGACATTTTTTCTAAATGTGATTTTTTAACGTTTTAGAACATTCTAAACATATTTTCAAAGAAAACTGGAAAAAAAATTTTTTCACGAAAACAAAGCTTCCTCTATGAGGAAGCAATAAATTAATTAATTGATGAGCTCATGGACTCACGTGTCATGGAAACGAACTGATACAAATAGATTCATAACGCTAAATGATTTTTAAATTAATCAGTGTCTTTTTAAATCTTGAAATTGTAAAGAATCCTGAGTATTTAAACATTTTGAATTCTGCAAATCTTGCAACGTTACGTTGTCTAGTGATTGTACAGGAATAGGCTTTTCATTTTCAGCTTGTGAATATTTCTTCATAGTAATAGTTTGTTGAACACTTGCAGTTTTGGCTCTCTCCGGAGTTAGATTTTTTAAATTTACTAATACTTTAGGAAAAGGACTTGGAGAACTAATGGCTTGCGAATCAAGATTAGATGGTGAAAATGAAGAAGAATAATGAAGTGGGGAGATTACAAAGGGATTTTGAGCGATTGGGTTGACTGTAGGAACTGAAACTGTCGACAGTTGAGACGAGATCTTAGGAGCGAAAATATTTTGCATGCCAGTTAACAATTGATTAGTTGTTTTTTTTAATATTGTTCTTTGGCTTTCAAGCATATTGTTAATTATTTCTTTTTCTAACTTTCTTTCAGATTCCATTAATTTTTCAATGAAGCATCGATTCTCTGTCATAATTTTGTTTTGAATTTCTTCATAATTTTCCTTTAATTTATCTGCGTACCTCATGGTAATAGCTTCATTTGATCTGCTCATTTTACGTTTCTTTTAGGAACAGCACTATTAATTGCACTTAGATTTACGGTATTCGATTCGCTTGACAAATCTTCTTGTAACACACAGCCTGTAGTTGATGAATTGTCTAATGTCGACGAACATCCTGGAATTGCACCGTCTCGTGGATCTAGTTCATCTTCATAGATGTTGTTCCTTGAATCTAGTAGGTATAGAATAATGTTTTTATATTATCTTAAATATATATTCTTATTATATATTATATAGGTTCTTATCTACTACACTTCATAAAATTACATTTATAAGAAATCACTTACAACTATTATCATTACTCTCAGAAAAATCTTGTAGTGGTGTACTGTCTACAACATCCCCTAGAGCAATGGGACGGAAATCCAAAAGTTGACTTATTTCTTCAGCATATGGAAATGAGGACATGCAGTTACCAGATCCACTTTTTCCCATTTGTCTTCGGATTTTGTTATATTGAACTGAAAATGATAAATAACGTTACAATATAAAATTAATGTATTACTAAATTTAAAAAGTTCAGCTCCAGAGAGAGCCAAAGCTGCAAGTATTTAAAAACTATTATTGTAAAGAAATATCCACAAGAAAATGAAAAGCTTATTCTAGTACAATCGTTACTTAACGTAATGTTGCAAGACTTGTAGAATTTAAAATGTTCAAGTACTCAGGATTCCTTACAATTATCATTCAATAAATCAAATAAAGTATGAATATAAACTACGTTTTAATTTACTTCACATAAAATATATTTTTACTTACGCCTCAGAGTTCTAAATTTAGTCTGCATTTGCTTTGATGTCTTGTTATAACCTTTATCTTTCATAGGTGATTCTAAATATTGAAAAATGTCATCTGCTCGAAACCTTTTTCCATCTAAACTTTTCATTACTTGCCTCTCTCTCATTAATTTGAGAAAATATCGAGTTTCCTCGGTTTCCCAACTTTCACGCTTTTTTATTTCCATTTCTTTGTACTTTTTCTTTGTATTTTCTGTATTAGGATATTGTAAATATTCTTTTGTTGAAACTATTTATAAATTTGTCAGGATAAGGAAAGCGAAGAGATGGACACCACTGAATTTAGCACAATTAATACTTACTTAACTTTATTGGAAATATGTGTATAAAGACGAATAAACGATTTGCTTAATTAAATGTATTAAACTTAAATATATTAAACTTAAATGTATTAAACGATATATAACGAAGGCGAGTGTCTTTTCAAAACGGTCACGCTCCGGCCGTTTCTTTGTCTTTCCACTATGTTGTTACACGATTTGCCCTTGTCTTTTCGCGCACCCGTGTTTTAGAATTTTCACCTCGCGCGGCTCGCTCGTGCGGTCGGTCGCGCGGCTCGCTAGCACGCGGCCTGTTAGCGCGCAGGCGCCTCGGATCTGACAATATGCAATACAAAATAACCAACTCTGCAAACAAATAAGAGAGTTAAGATGTTTCATTTTTATAGTTGGCACTATTGCTATCGTTACACTGCTACCGTTTACACGTCCTTTTTACGTCGATGTAGTAACTCTAAGCCTCTTCACCAAGCGACTTTGAGTTACTACATCGATGTAGTAACTTCGTCATAAAAGAGCGTTTATACGGCATCTAACGAGTTATAACATCGATGTTATAACTCCGGCTTAAATCGGGCCGTGTAAACGTAGTCAGTGATGCCAGCCGAGAACGTTAGCACGGTCGCTGCAGCGACGGTGGGGGTAGAGTGGGGATAGTCGGTCTGGCCACGCCTGCGCGCGCACGCTCGCACACAAGCAACACGTCGTAAAAACGTGTGCGCTCGA